GGGGGGGGGAGGGGGGGGTGAGGGGAACCACATGGTTTCGTCGGCAGGGGTGCAAGAGGTATAGAAAGTTTGGTTGGTGTTTTGCGAACGTAGGTGTGGTTGACTGGCCGCGCGCTTGCCCCAAAGAAATGTGTGTAATCAATTGTGGGGTGGTTGGTTATAAATGAAAATGTATGAGTTATTCCGTGTGCTGGGTGGAGAACCGTTGCTGGCGGTTGGGGGGCGGGTTGGGGACCGGGGAAAAGAGAACGAGTGACACGGGGTTCGATTGAGAGGTGGGTGCGGAAGACGAGCGACTCGCCACGTTCTGGGTTGTTTTGGGGGGAGGGTGATGACGCCGAGATATCAAAGGGCGGTCTAGAAACATTACTGCCGCAACCTACGAGGAGGACATTGAAAGGTGTCGAGAAATTCCAGAAGCAGTTGCACGGAAGCTGAGACTACGTGGAGTGTGCAAAAAAGCTTCAAGGTGTACCCGGATCTTCCGTAAGGAAAGCATGTAGTGTCGGGTAGGGCGTGCAACTGAACACATGCGAAGGTTCGGATGCCCTAGTCTCCTTTGCGCATGTTTGCTAAAACACCGTCGGCTGCGCCGCCGAATCTACTGAGGAACCTAACTGTTTCGGCCTCTGCGTGAAACCTATATTGTACCCATCTAATGAGTCGCAGAAGGGTTCTGCTCAATGGCGCCGGGAAAGAAGGAGCACTAGGCTTGCAGCGATGCCGAGGTGTCACAAGCAACACAGCGAGATGCTCACGCCTGGGCCGTGGGTCAAGACGTAGTTGCTACAGTACGCGAGTTGATCTGTTTCGGAGAGTGAGCACAAAATAGGCACCGAAGCCACTCAGATCACGAAGCATCGAACGGGGGAACAAATGTCGAGTAGGGCAGGCATTTCCACAGCTAGCGTGCTCCTTCGCAATTTATCTACAGCGGACAAAAAAAATAGTTTCGTCTTCCAGAATTTGTCCACAGCGAAAGTGCATGACTACCCGACGCTCGAACGCCCGCTGTGGCCCACTGCTGTCGATCTTCTTGAGAGCCGTCAAGGCCTACCGTACTTGGAAACCCAACGACAAGCGCCATCACACCGTGCGCAAAGATCTCCAACAACACCGGCCTTTAGAAAAAACAGCAGACGCGAACCACGAATAACATGGCATCGACCACGTTCGACCTCACGGTATCCCCACTGCAATAGCTGGCACCGATACTTCAGCGCATGTCGTTTCTCTTAATGTTACCGGAAACCAAGCACACGACTGTGCCACCACGTTTTTCTTGTCTGTCAAATTATCGTATGGTATGTCCGTATACGCAGCCGTTGCTACATTGGCACAACGGCTCCCATCACAAAACCTCACGGAATTTTTACGCCCGCTGGTACCACCTTGTCCATCACGCAAAGGTTCGACCCCGCCGTCCATATGCAAACCACCACTCCTTTCTGTACACCAATGAACCCGATTCACAAAAATGAAAGGCTTACACCTCCGCCCCTTCGCCACTCAGAGCCCACCAAGAATCTCCAAAACCAACCGAAACCCTTAGCCCGAACTCGAAGTCTACTTCTTCACTCCCGTCCCCATGAACCTCTCCTCCCCCTCGCCCGCCATCCTGGCTGCCGTCCTGGCCTCCGAATACACCCCAGCCGCCGTCGCTAGAGACAGGTTGGGCCGCCGGTACNCGCGTTGGCTGTCACCCGACTCCGGAGGAAGCCGTCGCCGGCACCAGTACCGCTACGATCGCGGTTCTGTCGTAGTCTAGCGGCAGGAGCAGTCGAGTCCGGCCAGCTCTTGTCGCTTCGAGCTGATCGGGGCCTTTCTCGCCCCCCTCCTCCACTTTGGTTGTGACCACCTGGCAGGGACCCCCAGCTGCTACCGCCACCGCCTCCGCCTTGACTGCTTGGGGTAGGGGCCTCGATCGTGAGCACGGCCGATGTAAGTCGGTCGTCGCCATCTAGGCTGCCGTGGTGGCCGGCGCCAGCTGCTCCACAGCGAGTGCGGGGTGACACGACGCCTCCAGCAATGGCGGAAGCACTGCTGGTCGTCGGCGTTTCCTGTGCCGCGGGGAAACAGTAAACACCGCGGTCACAAACAGATTGCGGTGAATATCCGAACAGAGCGCAGTACCGCAGGCGCCAGGCAATGCCGAATGTATATTAGAATAGCCGGCAGCTGTGTGCACCCGCTTGGGGCTTTGGGTGGGGCGATACGGGAGGAAGACGACCAACAACAAAACTGGCGTGACGCATAAAAGCGAAAGGCGATCATAGCAACGAGGAAACAAGAACATATTGCACGACGTGCCGGCAGAGGCTGGACGCTGGAGGATGTCCCCCTGTGGTCATCGACGGGTGGAAAAGAAATGCAATAGAACCATCACGATGCTTACGGACGCCTACAAGGTCAACCGCTTCCTAGGGGCTGTGATGGGCGAGGATTGTTTATCTCTTCTCCCGAAGAACTTGCACAGGTTGCTGCTCTTGCCAACCATTCTCGTCAACACTCCCGCGGGCACTATCGACCTCCACCCCGCCCAAAATCAAAGCATTCGGCCTTCGGTTAGTCTGCACAACTAGGTCTCACTTCAATCTCCAGAATGCTCCCGCCGCTCTCCTCGCCGCCACATGTGGAATACGCCTGACAGATCCGTCACGCCGCACGTGAACACACACCAGCTCGGAGCGCGCCACATAGTCTACACGATT